TATACATTAAAATCTTGATTTTTTTCTGAACTCCAGCACTGTGTATGACTCCTTACAGTTAAATATTTATAGCCCTGTTTCTTCATATGTAAAATAATGAATTAGACTTTAATCTTAAAACTAAATTTTTTATCAACTGGAGAAATTTTGCCTCAACTCCAGAAAGTATAACACATTAATGCCTTATAATTGTGTATAACCCGCTTCGTCTGGAGTAAATCTGGTTCCCATTTCAGGGTTTGAAAATGAAAAAGGTCTGGACAGAGGAGGCAAACATAGAGGTATGAGAGGTTCTTTTCCCATCTGATGTGCTACATGTTTCTAAAGCATGTTTGAAGGCTCCAAACACAGTAGGACAGAACCTTCAGAAATTCTTGAGAGTATAGCTCTTTAATGAGGTAAATCAAAGTTCTTTGAGAGTGTCATCTTTATCTAATACTTAGAAGCCTAAAATTTTTCTGATTCTTGTTAAGGATAAAGTCCAATTCTTGGTTAGTTTAGCAGTTCATATATATTTATCATTGTTAAATGAGTTCTAAATAAAATTTTTTCTTCGGTGTCAACAAATTAATTTAAGATCGTAGTACGTATTTAGTTTCATTATTTATGGATTGTACCACCACGTCCCTTCCCTTCCAATTACACCTAAGTAAGTATGTCTTGGCCTCTATAATATTGCCATTAACGAAGTTTTTCATAGGGGAAGAAATTCTTACTATGGACAAAAATAGAATTTTTTTTTTTTTTAACTGAGTTTTAATTACCTCCTAGTCTGGTAAACTTATTTGAGCTTTTATAGTTATTGGTTTGTTACGCCAACCCCAGCAGCCCCTGGAGGGAGTATAAATTTAGGCAAAGTTGCCAAGGGACAAGCAAGTGTTGAAGAAGAGGTGGGAGGAAGGAAACCTTTACTCTTGGCTCTAAATTACTAAATCGCGACATTTATTTAGTCTCTTAATCATTTACCCCAGTGTTTCTCTCTTTTCTTTTTTCTCTTCCACCCTAAACTTCTTGTAGATCCTTTGCCTACAGTAACTTGCCTCAGATTATAAGACTAACTTAGAATTTATACTATCCCAATTATATGAACTTTTCACCAAATCTGTGAGCACTTTCTCTTTTCTAGAGTTCATCTCTGGTTTTCCAATAATTCTTATTTGTTTCTTCTAATGCTTATCACTTCTCTCTCTCCTGCACTTTTTTTTTCATGTTTCCTACATATCTTCTCACATTATTTACTGTAGCAAGATTGAAATACATTATTGAAGAAGAGTGAAAATAATTTTTAGCCACATTCAGATTGTTAGTAGCAGCTTCTCATTCTTCACATATATTTAAAGGTTTCAAAGAGCCATATAAACTCGTATTTGCTACAAATGAAGTCCATATGCACCTGAGTCAGCAGGACAGGTATTATTCTTTCTATTCTACAGATGAGAAAATTGAGACTTTGAGACATGAAATACCTAAGACAGTACCAGGAATCATAAGAATTTGGAGCAGAAAAAGCCTAATGAAGATTTTATTTTGAGGAATTTAAGATTCATCTATAAAAAGTGATTTTTCTACAGCCAAACTAAGTTGTAGGCTAGAACTCAGATTTCCTAATTCCTAATAAGTATAGTACTTTTTTTTTTCTCCCAAGGGAAAAGTGATATGTTACAGTGCAATTGCAATGTTTTGCCTCAATATTTCAATTTGGTTTGGAGGTGAAAGATAAGTATATAATGCAGATGCCATATTAGTTCTCTAACAAGTTAGTGGTGTAGATGAAACACATTCATATATTTATTGCATTTTTTTTTTTATCATTTAAAAGTTAAGGTGAGGGTAATAATCATACAAAAACTTAATGTTCTTTTCCCATGTCTTTCTATTTTTTGAAGTTATTCAAAACAAGGAAATTCAAGTATAGAGGTATTTAAGAATAAATTCAACTCATATATATAACAATTTTGAATAATCAGTTAATTCTAAGAAATTGAATCTTAAAATTAATGACTATTTAAACCCTAATTTTAAAATTTTCTGAAATTTTTCTCTTCTTAACTGAGTTAAATTTGTTCATTTGACCTATTAATCTTTTATTGTTTCAGAGTTATTCTGTATATATGTTAATTTTTATTATTAATAATTTTCATTGTTTAAATTTAGGGGTAGTAGATTGGGTTGAAAATATTGATTTCAGGATATATTTTATTTTATTTTTTAATTTATTTATTTAGGCAAGGCAACCCTTGGTTGACGTCACAGATTACATGGACCTTGTCAGCTTATAATCCCTTTGTTTTTATTTTTTACACTATAACACCTGGCCTTCCTAGGTGATCTCCCATCCAAGTACTAACCAGGCCCAGCCCTGCTTAACTTTGGTGATCAGATGGGATCAGGCTTGTTCAGGGTGGCATGGCTGTGTAGACTTCAGGATATATTTTACATGTTTGTGTTTTTAATGAATCTAGTTTAAGGATTATTTCTTAAGGAAGAAATTTGGTTATCATGGCTTCTGGCTAGTTGGAGTTTAGAGAACTGAGGTTTGTTGTATGCAGGGTCTTTTATTTTGTGAGAGAAAAAAATCTAGTAATTTTATAACAATACAGTGTGAAGCTTGATAACAAAGCTCTGAAAAAGAAACCAGGCAGGCCTGAGAGTTGAGGAATCTAGGGAGGATTTTTAAATTAAGGATATTTTTAAGCTAGATTCTAAAATAGTAAGTTGTGGCTAATAGGATGAAAATAGTTTTTAACCCTCTTATAAAATCCGAAGTAATATTGTTACCCTTGAGAAAAGTGAGCATTGCAAAGTATGATGATAGTACTTAACCTAACTTTTCTACCTTTTAATGTCAGCCTACGCAAGAGATTTTTTCTTTTTCTCTTAAGACATACCTATATTTATTATAGTTTCACATAATTTCAAAAATGTCTACAAAACATACCTTTCTGGCCCTGAATTAGAGAGTGTGCATAGCTTTCCTTACTTTGAAATCTCATAATTGGGCCACTGCCTCCCAAAAGGTTTTCTTATGAGAACAAGATTAATAAGTGTAAAATTTCACTATAAACACCTTGCTGTTAATATGCTCAAAGAATTCTATTCATAAAAGTAAAAATGCTCTCAGTGTTCTAGTTAAAATTGAATGCTGGATGATCAATGTTGTAAAGCCAAAGGAATTAAAAGCAAAGGGACATTTTGAGAAAATGGCTTGTTCATATATATCTAAATATATATTTACTTATATGTTTTGTCAGAAACTGAATGAAGAAGAGATTTGGCTTTCTGGTGGTTTGTGAAGAGAGTTGATCAGAGATTGCTCCTTGGCTGAGTTGCTGTCTCCATAGGCTGTTAACAATTGTTTCTCTGGCAGCAGATCTTGTTCATCAGGATTGCATCATTTCTGGGAGAATGGCCAAGGTCCACAGCCTCAGTACAAAGACTGTCTGAAGCATATGAGGCCTGTTCTCTTTCTGAAGCAGCACTCCTCTTCCTGCCAGTCCTCTTCACAAGATTACTGAAGCAGACTTGTTCTGAATTTCTTTCATTGGATTGGCTGTTTGTTGGACTCTTGTCTCCCAGCTGCTTCCGGCTCACCTGGCTGATGCAATTTCTTTTTCTGAAATCTCTGTTGGAATTTTTCTTAAAACATTTTGTGTCTGTCTTGTCTTAGCACTAGTGACCCAGACAGATCACACGGTTCTTGTGCTTTCGGCAAGCCATATAGAGAAGAGACTGTCAGAATGACAAATACAGAAACTATTGACCATTTCAGAACCCAATTTAAAAAGATGGGTAATTATAAACTATTTCTGGCATCTTCTATTTAACAGCCTTTTCCTAAGAAACTATGTAAATGGTAACTTTTCGCAAGAGTACTCAGTACTGGGAAATAGGCTAGTTCTGCTTATGAATCCAAGAACATACTAGTGTTCCTGTGGATTCTGACGGATTGTTCTAGAAATAGATTAAAACGAAATTGAAATTCTGATGTATCTGTTTCCCCCCCCACTGTACACTCATAATTATTTCTCTTTTTTCTTCTGTCATTTCTTTTCTTCTTTGTTCTTGTTGCTAGAGGAGTCTACTTCTTCCCTGGTTTATTCAGTTTTTTTCTTTTACTGTTACCTTCATACCTTTAAATTATTCCTAGTATTCTCTTTTTGAATTGTTTCCAAAGAATAGTTTATTTTCCAATTTTTAATAAATAGGAAATCCATAAAATATCAATATAAAGTACGTTTCCTCTTTACTCCTTGGCAACTGAAATACCACAAACAGCTCTTTTCATGTATTTGATATATTAACATTTCAGGTGTTAATACTTCATTCTGACTAATGTTGAAATTCACTTTTTCCCCCTGAAAGTCCTGGGTCGTCACCCATTTCCTTTCCCTTTTTGGAGGGCAGAAAGTTAATTAAGGCTTTATTTTCCACATGTTTCTATTATGGAGTTGACCACAAAAAGAAATGACTTCTTTTTGTCACTTTTTCTGTAGTAGGACAAGAGGATATAGGTGGGATGGAGTCAGGGGGAAGAAAGTAGTAAAACAAATTTATACATTAATAGGTGACGGTAGGTCCTGACTAAAGGGCAAATTTGACATTCGATTAAAGAAAAGCCTCTGAATTTGGGAAAGGGTTAGTGGAGGAAAAAAAGCACCTCCTAGGAGAGATAAAAAGAAGGAATCCCTTGGGAAATGGGAGAGAATTCTAATTTGAAGGAAAAAGAAGGATTATCCAGTGACATGGTAAAGTATTTACCACTTCTTAAATACAGATGAATTTCACTTTCTACCCTTTTTTTAGGTCTGGCTTTACAGACCTAAATAGGATATAAAGGCGAAAGTATAAAACTGTAGTACTAGATGGAACATAGAATAGTCAACAGGACAGTATACAGAGATGAAACAAATAAAATTACCATTAAAACATTATTTCTGTAGATTTCTGTGTCCATCCATGTTAGTTTTTTCTATACTAATTTGTGTCTCAACTTTTTCTAGGTCTTCAGAGCTACTGACATAATTTTTTGGAACTTCAGAGGTCTATAAAAAGGTGACTGAGCCAAATATTTTAATTTGTCTTAATTTTTATATTTTTATGAATGCTAAAATCATATGGTAAGATGATGACAGTCAAAAATCTGCAGATACTTCTCAAATATCCTTTTTGTGCAAGGTACTGTTCTGGACACTAGAACTACAGCAGAGGATAAAACAAAAATCCCTGCCTTCATAGAGTTCATATTCTGTTAGGAAGAGACAAACAAATTAGCAAGGAAAAGATATCTTGAAAATATTGCACCTAGAGACAGTTAATTCTTATCAGTCTTTCTAGGATACATTTCCAAACTATGGTAGATTAATAACAGCTATAACTATTAAGCTTGGTAAACTATACTAGGAATTTATTGTCTTGGCTTATAAAACTAGAGTAATTGTAATAAGAAAATATTGTGTGTAGATGATCTGTTAAAAGTTCTTCAGTTAACATTTTAATAGCTACATTTTGCAGTGTTATTTAGGGAAGGAACTACTCAGGATTATATGAGAAATTTGGTTTTATTTTTTGAATTAAGAAACCCCAGTATTGTGAAAACATTATTTAGAACAAGATGGTCAAGGTAACCTATGATTGCTTTCAGCAAAAGAGTGGAAGAGTCAAGTAAAACTAGACAAGGAAAATAGAGCAATTCATGACAGAGAAATTCATAGTTAATTGCTTAATGTTTCTTAAAGTTATTTCTTAACTATACAAATTAGCTGAGGTGGGATTTCATTAAGGAATGTATTAATCATTTATTCATTCATTAAGGAGATATCTGAAATAATTTTTCCATCTTTTCCTTTTACTATATCCTTTAAAAATTACTCAAAAGCTTAGGTTTATGAGTTGTGTCTTATCTGGAAGCCTACATCTGTTTGTGGTCATATAACAGTAATGGATGTGACAAAGGATTTTTAATGGTACCAAGTAACATTTTTTGTCTTTTACTGAAAATATAATACATGATTTATATGATTCAGATTCCAGTATTGGTCAGGGATGATATGATCATTATCGCATTGTCTTATTATCAAGCCAAGCAATTTAAGGGCTTTTTAATTTTTTTCTTTTCATTTTAATTCAAATTATACAATGATACTAAAATTAGAGAAAGAGTTGTAACCAACAATCCCCAATATTTAGTTTTATGCCCTTTGGGTTTATTCGATAAGTGTTCCCTCTTCTGTAATTTGTATACTTTATTTCAATTTCCCCGGAAGCTTTGAGGATGTACTACTTAAATCTCTGTTTAGATATATTGTTAGGGAAAGGAAACATTAATGTGTAAAATGTGCTCAAAGGCAGAAAGTTATATTAGTCACTTTTCTTTTATGAGCTGTGAGGAAGCAATAGATAAGATTTGCCCTTTTCATTTAAGTCCCAAGTCTAGCAATGTCACCTTCAGTTGAATAGGAACAGGTATATTACCACACCCATATTTGGAGAGTCCTAGATCCATTGGTGAGATCAAGCCCTTTCAAAGTGTAGATGGCAGGAGGACTGCTCATTTTATAGCTGTTTTGTTACTCTAAAATAACTACACAAAAGAATAGTTTTATCTTTATGTGTTCTTAAAAATCTTGGCCTGATTCACTGTTCACAGTTGGTTTTCTTTTCCACATTTATTTGTTTCATGTTAAAATAAGATTCAAGCATCTCAGATCATCTGTCATTTAAAATTTGCATTAATCCCTGGGATTGACTCAATATCATATACTTTTCATTCCATTTAATTTTTTTTAGTATAATTGTTTGACTTTTCTAGTGTCTTTGTCTTATCATGAATTGATATATCAGTCATGTCTCTTTTTTCTTTTTCTTTTTCTTTTTTTTACAAAAATCAGCATTAATCTGGGTCTTTAAAATCCATATTGACTTTCTTCCCTCCCACATAAAATGCTGCTTATTTCATCCTTTTCATGGTTTTTTACAATATAAAACCACTAATGTAAAATCATACAAAGTACATTTTTGCCCTTTGAAGTATAACTCCAAATTTCTTAATCTACTTCTGCTTTTTTATTCTTTGGTTGTGAGTCTTTCTGTTCCCAAATTCCACCGGTTATGGTCACCAACTCAAGGTGTCCTTACTGCTTTTCCAAAATCTTCTAATCTCTATAATGAAACTACTCTGCGGTTCATGTTTTTATTCATACCTAGTAGGTTATTACCTCACAAAGTTGTTAAGATCATTGCATCTTCTCTTAAAATTATAGTTAAAATAAAAATGGTTTTAAAAAAGAAAGTCTTCTGTGACAAAAGAAAATAAGAAACAGCTGTATCCAATCAAATATAAACAAATTGATCTCTTAACATTTAATTTGGAAGAAATAACATTGGCTGCTTATAAAACTGCATTTGTAGTGACGGGGGGGCGTTAAATGAAGATCTTGAATTAAGTAGATATTTTTATTAACCATTCTGTATCTTGAAAGTTGTTAGGTCCTAGGCTGCTGGAAATTTTTATTTGATGAGCAGTTGTAGAATGGGGAAAATGTACTTATTAGTGAGCTGGGCAGACTAATATTACTTTCCCTTACCTGGAAAGAAAAAAAATTAAAGTAGAAATTAAAAGCAAGCATAACTTTTGCTACCTTGCTTGGTAGAACATTAATGCAATACATAGTAAACATGGGACAATGTGTAGATCCCTTGCTGTACTTGTTTTATATTCATTCCTTTAAAAGCCTTATTGAAAAAAACGAATAAAACATTTAGTAGCATTTAGGATAAATTTAAAAATCTGTCTGGTTACTAGATATTTTCCTTTTCTGTGACAGGATTCCTCATGTCCATAACATGTTGGTTGAGGCTCTGCAGCTCACCCCCACTCTCAGAGTGGCCAGTCTCCATTAATTGGACCCCGTGATTTCCACTCTCTGCTGTGTTGGACGTCATGAGCATTGCAATCCCTCTGGGAGTCACCACACCAGATACATCCTACTCAGATATGGCTGCTGGATCAGAGTAAGTGCTACCTCCTAGGTAGTAGGTGAATTACCAGTTTGCGTGGAGACAACTTTCTTATGGGCATCTAATAATAAATAGTATTTTCTAAATTCAGGCCTAGCCCACTGCAAATGACATTAGACCTTTCCCTTTCTCCCATAGAAGCTGGAGGAAAAAAGAGAGAGGAAAAAGAATTGGAGGGGAGGGGGGCCAGGAATTCTGAGTAAATAATTAATAGAATTAAATTTATAAAGTAGTTGTTACATTTTCATTTGTTTTGATAGGTGAGGAAGATTGAAATAAAGTAGGTATCACTACCTGCTTCTGTAGAATTAATAATAATTCTGACGGATAGAGATAAAGAGGAGTTCTCTCCAACTGATTTTCCTTGAAGGCCTCTTCCTATGTACTTCTCATTGTTCTAGAGTAAAGGGGCTGAAACTTTATGTTTATGGGCAGGTTACTTAGACATTCTGACATTTTGGGGTAGAAAACATGGAAGGCAGTGTCATCTGTTTTTTATAATATTCATTGCCTAGAAAGAGGACCTTCAAAATCAGTGGTACCAAACTTTTTTTTCAGCTAAGAGCAGCTTTAGGAATTCAGAGTTTGTCGAAAAGCCCAATCCCTAAAATAGACTCTCAATTCTTGAAGAATTTAAATGCCAAATGGCAAGAAGGTAGGCTTTGTTATAAAACTTTATATATTATTCACAGTTTTTAAAATTTTAGCCTTTTGTATCCCTTCTCTTTTAAGTTGTCCGAGATTCCCCCTGCTTACAGATTACCCCTCTTGTCCTTTTACCTCCCTTGTACCCAATCTTCCTTGCTTACAGAAAGGAAGTGGAAGCCCCCTACCTTTCAAGACGAAGTGGCACTACACCAGGATGTGAAAGTCCAGCGAAAGAGACCCAAGGGGCCTAGGGGGCAGCACACCCCCAGAAGCCAAGTCTATTCCAGGCAGTACCAGGGATTAGGGTCTGGGCTGGAAAAATCCTGGTGTTTTGAATATGTTCAGGTCCAGTTCAGACTCTTGATCCCACAGCCACTTCTTGAGTGAGGTGGGTGTTGCTCTAATTCCCCTGTTTCTCTTGCCATTTTCACAGTCCCTGGGGATTCTTCCCCCTTCAGCAAAGCAAAGCAACTATACCAGAACTCTGGGTTCAACTGCATCCCTGAATAATAGTGGTTTTCTTCTTTAAAACTAAATATTAGTAAAAAGTATGTATGTTTCTTCACAAAGCCACCTAGGATAACTTAATTGTTTACTAACTTCCTTAAAGAGGAAGACTTTAAATGAAGCTACCCTAAGAAGCAGTATATTCTGGGGTAGTCTAGAATTTAAAGCAGTTTTTGGCCTACTTCCCTTATAAAAAGGAAGATGGAGGGTGGGGGATGGGGAAGGGTGAATTGTGTTTCTTCCCGGGCTTTTTTTTCTCTGGTTTTGTATTATTTTTATTTTTTTGCATGCCAAAGAGATTTAGTTATGCCAATAGTTGAGGTTTCCAATTTTATAACTGTTTCCCAAATAGAGTACTTAAAAATCTTCCTGTATTAGTTGGGAACTAGTTGTATAGTGTTAATAGATTTTTAGAAGTCAGCCATTAGCCTCCTATATGGATTGACTAGCAAACTATATAGATAGACAGCATTAACATTCACGAGAAATTTCAACAAATAGATTAAATCAGTGAGTTTGTGATAAATGGATAAGAAAAGACCTAAAGCAATTATTCCTAAAACTGGTATTTTTCACAGAATACAGAGATAACTGCCCATGATGTTGCTAGGGAGTCAAGAAGTAATTACAGAAAGAAAAAATACTTCTGGCCTAAAAATTTATTGTAATGTTTCTATTACCTGAAACATTTCATTCATAATTTCCAGATACATTTTTGATACTATGGTCATAACTAATTACAGTTATTCAGTATTTCTACAAAGGGAAGAGCATGTCAGCAATTAGCATATTTCTGTCAAATTATTGATGATATTTGTTAATACTTCACCATGTATATTCCACTATTCTGGGCACTGGTTTGAAGATTAAGCCCAATATGAAGGGCAGCATAGTCAAACAAGCAAGTAAAGCATACTCGAGCACATACCTTATGTGTTATGTATTTTTTATATATTTGTAGAGTAGAAGCAAAGATTTTTTGAATTTGCAATCCTGCCAGCAATGAATTTCAGACATTTCCCAAGAGGTAACATTATAGAAGCCAAGATGCATATTGTACTTTGAGGACAATTGATGGAGTGTATCTGTTGTAAGCATGGATTCTGTGTATGAGCCCAACTATCATAGCAGTTCAAACATAGAGGAGAAAAGGCTGTGATTACATTTGCATAAAATGGTTCGCTGATAAAGAAATGCAGTTCTAACGCTCCAAATTTTTAAACCCATTTAAAATATAGATAAGAGCTGGTATGTATGTCAAGGAATATCATAAGAAATCATGTAGCTGTCTGTCAACATGTTACTGTGTATTGAATCAATAACCAGTATTGCAGTTTCTTCAAAAGATAAGAGCTTAAATTTTAGTATTTGTCATGCATAGCAATATATTAAATGCTGTGCTTGATCAGACATTATTGTACAGTCAGATGGCCTTTTAACTTCCACAATATACATTTTATTTTTATTCCCTAGACTTGCACATGAAGTGCATATGTTCATTTTTACGTAGTTTGGAGATGAGTAAAATAAACCAACATAGCTACATCTCCATGGCCATCCTTTATTTCATGCCACTCCTTTTTCCTATCAAAAAAAAATTCCTAGTTAACAGCTGTCATGTTTCACCCCATGTGTTCAGTGATACAAAATCTCTTATATAAAATATGTACAGCTCTTTGGAATACTTGTTTATCTAGTAAATTAACAATGTTGTATAAGGTTACTTTCTCTTAACTGACCATCATAGAAACTAAATTCTACCTTCATTTTATTAATGCTTGTTTGCCTTTGGCTTCATTTAGGAAACCCCACCTGTTTCCTAATAGTCAGAGCTGATTGCCTCTCAGTGAGACATGTTCTGATCATTTTCTCAAGAATACTAAACTGCATTCTTAATGTATCCCCCCCCAGTTCCCATCTTGCAGACACTCTTAAAGTAATAAAATGCATTCACTTCACTAACAGAGAATACTTTCCTCTGTCTAAAGTTCTTCACCTAGAAATTATTTTTGCTGTTATTAATAAGATCCCTTCTCGCAGTTTTGGAGCATATTACTGGGTGAGTTGGATACATATCAGAATTTTCTTTTATCCCTCACTTCTCAGCTGACCTTGCACCATATTGAACTCCACACTTTATTCCTGCTAACTATTGTATATTGTATATTTTCAAGCAGGAAAGATATTAATTGAAGCAAACAGTGTGCATTATTTGATTCCCTAAAAGACCCTTTGATTTTTAAGGCTGAGTTATGTGTGGTATTTTGGAGTTTCTAATTTGTGAATCTCTGCCCTGATTAATTAAATGACAGATAATCTATTATTCAATTCTGCAGAGTCATGCAATTGCATTCCCTAATTATCTTTCAAAATTCCCCAAAATCTAACCAGTTAAAGTTCCTTTTTCCTAAAAAAAAACTTCAATTTTATCCTTTGTCACCTATGCCTTTTATTACAAAGTAAAAGATTACATTAAATTTCTATATTTGAACACATTTATAATTTATATTAAAACCAGTTAGGCATATTGGAAAGAGCACAGGCTTTGGAGTCTGACATTGCTTCAAATCCTGACAATATCAGTGTGTGACTTTGGCGAAGTCAAGTAATCTCACCACCTCATTTTATCCTGTAAATATGGAGTGCTGTTTACCATGTTTAGTAGTTGCAGAGTAAATGAATTAATATATAAAAAACACCTAACAAATAATGAGAAATTCAGAATGGTAGCACTACTATTGTTATTATTTGTCACTAGATTAACAACACTTCTGAGTACAATTTTGATTATTTTAAAGTTCTTTATTACCATGCAGCTGTTAAATGTGTCTTAATATGCTTGCATGTCATTGGTGGATGAGAAATTATTACTCTAATATTTGAAAGGTGTTTGGGGGTTCATCAAGATGAGAGGTATGATAAATATAAGATGCCATTGTTTTTACCTGTACTTTCTTCAGGGTATCCTGTCTTGGTAGTGAATGGAAGAGGGCCTGGTCCCTGGGGCAGTGCAGAAGGCACTTTCATCATCTCACTCACTGCAAATGTCATGTGAGGTTTCATGGAAGTATTAAGAGATCCAATTAAGAAGAATAGTTCTGAGTCTAAAGCAGCCCAGAGTGGCTTCTCTAGGGGAAACTCCCTGCTCAGCTGGTACGTTTGTGTTTGTCATTAGGGACACCTTGTATCCCAGGTGCCTGCCTTGAGACATCTGCCTGTACTGGCTTCATGTTACACACAAATCCACATTTAATAACACTCCTAATGTTATTTATAGGCTTAGTTATGTTAATCAGATTGTTTCACTGAGTTCTTTCTTTTATTCTAGTGGCTGGTGGTTGTGGAAAGAGGAGGGGTTAGAATGGGAAGTTAAGTCTTAGTTTAAGGGAAGATTAGGTGTTATGCTATCATGCGTTGCTTTTCGCCTTTGTGCAGCCCTGAATCTGTGGAGGCTAGTCCAGCAGTTAATGAGAAGAGCGTGTATTCCACTCATAATTATGGGACCACTCAGAGGCATGGGTGTCGAGGACTGCCTTATGCTGTGAGTATGCATTTGTTTCTCTCCAGAGCAGTGATCTTCCTGGAGTGTAATCCATTCTTATACATTATGACTTTCTTGCAATGTTTATATGCAGCATGACGAAGTTGCCCCTTTTGCACTTCCCTGCCTCCAGCGGACGTCTAGCCTTGCATCATTGTTCTTGTTTTTATGTCCCAGTTGACCTTGGCATTTTGTTTTATCACTTTCCTGGTTGAAGCCAAAAAACAAAGGGTACTACTTTCTTCTTTCTTTCCATATGTACCATACTTTAGGGGAGAGAGGGGCCAGTGTTGGACACTGTTGATTTAAAAAATCTTATTTTCAGGATCATAATTACGGAGCCCCTCCTCCTCCGACACCTCCTGCTTCTCCCCCTGTCCAGACGATCATCCCTCGTTCTGACCTGAATGGCCTGCCGTCGCCCGTAGAGGAACGCTGTGGAGACAGCCCGAACTCTGAAGGAGAGACTGTTCCTACCTGGTGTCCTTGTGGTCTTTCTCAGGATGGCTTTCTTCTCAACTGTGACAAGTGCAGGTAAGATCATGTTCCATCTAAGTTCAAGCCTGGGTTACTGGGATTAGGGTTTCTTATTAGTAGGGAAAAGCTCAAAGTATTCTTTCTTGTGTTTGTTAATGTAGATGATTCCTTAGTGCTCCTTGGCTCGAATTCTCTGCACTAGGTGAGAATTGCTGACAACAAGGAATGAGAGATTGATGTTAAAGCTATTGAATTTGATATGAAATTTAATGTCCTGGAAACTTTTGGTAGGTGGGAGGAAGGGGGTAGTATATGCAGAGACACTTCTCCCATGTTGCGATGATGTTCTGCATGCTGTTGGAAGGACTACTTTAAGTTTATTTTCCCTCTTTAGGGGAATGAGCAGGGGGAAGGTTATTAGACTTCATCGGCGGAAGCAGGACAACATATCAGGTGAGAAGAAGATGGGGTAGGCCCATATTTTGACATATAATATTTTGTATTTTAAATATTTGTCTCAGTAACCCCTCCTGTAAGTTCCCATGGTCCCCAGCTCTCTTCATGGAGAAATCCTCGCAAGACCACTGTGTAATTCTCTTGTTGTGAGCTAAATGCATCCATAAACAGTAGCAATCAAAATATTCCTTTTTAGTAGAAAAAAGGCAAGTCCTTTTTCTGTGTTACACATTGAGGCAATGGAGCTTGGGGACTGAATAGAAGGGAAGAAATAGATATGATGTAGAACAAGGTTTATGTGCTTATTGCCAATGATACAGAAAGAATCTTGTTTTCATATGTTCTACAGATAATGTAGTTAATAGTTAAAGTAATGACTTACTGGATATGGGTAGATCTAAAGGAATAAGCTGCTTTTAATGTGCTGTTGAGGCTGTTTGTACAGTGTGAACTATGAAATAACCTTTTTTCAGGTGGGGATAGCAGTGCAACAGAAAGCTGGGATGAGGAGCTTTCTCCTTCCACTGTGTTGTATACAGCAACACAGCACACACCTACAAGCATCACCTTAACTGTTAGAAGAACCAAACCCAAGAAGCGGAAAAAGAGTCCAGAAAAGGGTCGTGCAGCACCAAAGACGAAGAAAATCAAGGTATGGAGGGTAAAAGTATCTTAAATAGAAATATGTCTGAAATAGCTCAAGTTTTGGGCAAAAAAAATGTACCAAAATTCTTTTAAAAAGGTTGATACAGATGTTTGAAAGGCCATTTTTGCTCTCCTTGCAAAAAACGGCTAATCTGTTGTGAATATGTAGACCAACCTCTCTTCCGCCACTCCATACCATCACAACTGGCACAAAGTTTCTTCTCCAAGCCCCCAGGTATGAAATCCCAGCCCCACCTGGCACAAGTCCATATGTGCTGTGGCCTCCAGTCTAGGCTTCCAGTGTCCTTACAGTATTTCCCTGCCTCCTCAGCCCCAAAGCAGTCTGAAATGCTTGTCCTGGATATGCCCACCTCGTGTCATTGGAGTGATTTTTTTTTCCTTGTTTCAAAAAAATCAGGAAACATCTCTTGAATGGTCTACGCTTCCTCAGTGTTGTGGTCACTTTCCTGTATTCTCAATTTAAAAATCTCCAGGAGAAACCTCTTCTGTTTTGTGTTCTTTCTTCCCCATCACGGCAACTTCGTTGCTCCTAGGTGACTTGCCCACCCCTTGTTAAGGGGATTGGTCTTTTGTTTCTTTCTTAATTTCAAAACTGGTAAATCTGCAAACTTACTTAACGTTTTTATTTTTTTCCTTTTAGTGTCAGGAGTGCATGTAGGATTTAAGTGATGCATGCTCTTCCCTGTTAATTACCTAGTTCCACAATGGGAAGTACTAGAATTAGCCTCAGAGTTCACTGGCCTTGAGCTACCCCTGTTCTTGATAATAGTATGGGGAATTCAATTGTATTTGTTACCTAGGGAAAAGGGGAGAGCTGAGAACAATAGTTCTTGCCTTAGTTTTAGTTTCAGATAGGTATAACTGTCATTCTTGGTACCAAGTTTTGTTTTGTTCTACTTGTTTTCCTCTTTGGGATAGGCATTTCGAGAGGGATCCCGGAAGTCCTTGCGGATGAAGGTAAGGGGTATTCTTCCCTGATGCTGTGTTTTACTTCACTGTGATCTTACATTTTGGTCAGCTTCTTTCCTGACATTGATGGTCTAGGAATCTTGGACTCTCTTTTTTGTTAGTTTGTAATTGTTGACATTGAGTTTTCATAGAACCTTTCTCCAGAGATTTTCTTGGCCATTTTCTGAAATATTTTCCCTTTCTGTAATCAGCCTTTATTTTATTGGTTTTTCATTAGCTGCTTTTGGGGGTGGGGGGAGCAGTGCGGGGAAGTGACATTTTGCCAAACAAAATGCAACTGATGTGTTCTGTCATTGTGATTGGCCTCAACCTCAGGACTCAGGGTTTTTTGGTGATACAGGATGTCTTGTGTATCCACCGCAGCACCATGTGGGCTTTAACCACCATTTGGGAGGATAATTTTCATCAGTAGAAAAGTATTTATTGATAGGAATTACTCTTATTTGAATTACTTACTTTTTGAACTGTTTTCTCCTGGTGTATTTATTTCTTATAGAAGATTCAGATAATGCTAATATGTTTCTCTTCAGTTATCAAATAAAAGAGTTTATGGGGAATGATTTTGGATAGCAGTTGGAGAATAGAGAAATTATGTACAGTGGACTTAAGTACTGGGTGATAAAAATAGTTTGCCTGAAGGAGATTTGATTATACTGTTTGGTTATCTTCCTTTACCTATGTACATATAAGATGACAGCATACCTACCTTTCAAACCATGACTTAGAGCTTCAAAGCATTCAATTAGAATTAAGTTCTGTTTTCTATAAGTAGTCTTATCCTTAAATGTATAAATGATATAAAAGCAAAATCTTTCCTATTAACAGTTATATGGCATAAACATTAAAATCTTTCAGTGAGGATAAGCTTTCTTAGGATGTGTGTGTGTGTACATAAACATACATACATAGAGAGAGAGAGAGAGAGAACGAGAACCAATGCTAACAAAGATCACAGGTGGCACTTCATCTAAAAATTTGAAGCCCTCATCTTGCATGCTTATAAACAGACTTGTACATATCTATGGAAGAGATGAGGGAGGACTTAAGAGTCCAAGAGTGTCAGAGCCCTGAGATGTCTTGGAACACATCTTTTTTTTTTTTTTTTTTTTTTTTTGCTACATCTGTCTTCTGTAAAGAGCCACATTTGCTGCCCCTTTATTTTTGTCTCCTTTGTTTACAGGGGACCTTAAATAGACTTAAGGAACAGACATAGCTCCTGATCCCAGCTGTTAAGCCCTTTTCTCTTTTATCGGCTATAACATGCCTCTAGAGGTTTGAAATGTTTTGGAAGCTGTCTGACTGGCTCTCCCAGAAAACAAAACCCCAGATATTGCTTACTATTTTGAAATGTTAACAGATAACCTCATAGATGTGTTAAAATTTAGACAACAAGAAAATACTAGTTTGTTTTATTTTAACTCTCATATCAGAATTTTTAAGTCGAGTTATATATTTTGTACTCAGAATTAATTATTAGTAAGAACTCCACCAAAGATCTGGGTAAAAACTATGAATGGGAAGAATTTATCATTTGGATTTTTAATCTCAAAGTAAAGAGTTTCCCTACTGGACACTACTCTAAGCCAGAATTTTTCAACCTTGACACTGTTGACATTTTGAACCAAGTAATTCTTGGGATTGGGAGGTGCTGTCTTTCACATTGTAGGCTATTTAGCAGCATCCCTGGCACCCACTACGCGCGAGTAACACAGGTATGATAATCAAAAATGACTTAAGCTACTACAGAATGTCTCCTTGGAGGCAAATCACCTGTGATTGAGAACCCCTGTCCAAAAGCCACTGAGATGGGGGTCTCTATTACCCAGAAGAATGAGACATCCGAATAGACAGTTGTGCTAATGAATAAAAGCTAATACTGTGGCAAAAGTTTCCAATATACATTAAGTTTAACAAATCATAAGTTTAATGATCACTACTGGATGCTTAAACTTGGGAATACTGTTTGGGCACCCCTGATCCCCAGTCTTATAAGTACTATTAAGACTCTAGTTTTACACTTTTCTTTTGCTCAGCTATTACTGACATTTCAAGCACATGATATTGTTCTCAGTATGTTGGCCTTAGGTGTTTCTTAGATCCCTTTGTTTATCTTTCAGTCTTTTGGATTCTAATAAGAAATGTAGAAAACAACGGTGTTAATTTTTTCCTTTCCTGTTTCTTTGGGAAAGAATAGTAGACAACAGTCAATCAAAATCAGTGACACAAAAGCGAAAGAAATCAATTGTTATGATAGGCATAAATATTTTCTGTATCATTATGGAAAGTATATTTAATTTTCTTTGCCTGTATTTGCAAGTTTAATGTGGATATGGATTTGCAAGTAGCTTTGGTACTATACTGTTTTTTTTCTAGTCATCACTAGTATGACATCATCACTGTTGATGTTTGTTTTATGTTCTGATGACACCTTAAGTCTTGAGCACCATGGAGGAGAACATATGTCAGACTTAAGCTGTGTCTCAGTAGTTCAAGCACATACAAACTATCAATTTAGGACGATGAAATGTTTCTGAGATAGAATAAACTTTTCTCAGTACTGTCACCATAGAGGGCAGTGCTTTTCCTAGAGAAGTATAGCAACGCACTTCTCAGTACATTCTACACACCAC